GTGAAAAAATACGTGGGCGAGCACGTTTTGACACCGCCATCTTTGGCGATTTTTAATTCTTATGTGGCTTAGCCAAATGACTTGAAAATTTACAGGCATGTACCTCACATCATAGAGAACTCACAAAAAAAAATTCAGAAAAAAATTATTATTTTTAGGCCCCGAAATAATTTTTGGCGGGGGCCGAACGCCGTCAGGTTCGGACCCCGTACGGGACCCCGAACGCCCGTACGTACGGAGATCTGCTCGGGGACCTCCGTACGTACGGGCTGGTGACCCTGGCTAAAAGAATAAAACCAAAGAAATAAAAAAAATGACTTTCAATTTCGGACCTCAACACCCAGCTGCTCAAGGTGTTTTAAGATTAGTTTTGGAAATGATTGGAGAAGTGTAATTGAAAAAAAAAAAAAGAAAGTCCGTCAGGTCCTGACAAAAGGGCTTAAAGTTTTAAACTCTCATGTCATTATTCAAGATCAGCGTAGAGGACTCTGTATCACTCATGCAATGCTGACATGACACCTGGGGACGTGGCACTGCTGACATGGCACTGCTGACGTGGCACTGCTGACCTGGCACTGCTGACATGGCACTACTGACAGTTTGAGTGTATTCTCAAACTGTTTTTGTGAGTCCCGCGTAGTTTCCCCATGAAACTGACCACGCACCACTGCCACCACGGGTGTGCTTTGGTCTGAGCAGTCAGAATCTGGCCTTATCTTCCCATTGGTGCTGGGGCAGCTGGGAGGGTGTGATGGGGTGTAGACTATAGAGTGCCACTGGTTGAAAGCAGGATTACATAGGACCAGGGTTCAAATCGATCAATGTGAACCTTCTGGTCCATCCCCGTCTGATGCACGTTCATCACTTCACCAGAATCTTTCTCTCTCTCGACGGGATGCCGCGTCAATTTTCTCGCCCGTGCCATGGTACTGCTGCTATTGCCTCTACTGCATATTCAAGGCATCATCCATCATTTCTTTCCTGGGTCAACCAGTTCAAGTCTACCGAAGGTGAAGAGGAGTGCTAAGCACTCCACCAAGAGTATAAACCAAGGCTGAATACCCGGTCCCACTGGGGCCCCCTTCCCCCACCGGAACTGGGCCGGGTCTACCGGCTGGTGGACCGCGCCGGTCCCCCCCCGGTTGCAATTTCCGCAATTTGATTGCGGGGAGGTTTTGAATTTTTTGGCGCCGGGAGGCCTCCATGCGGGTCGTGGAGGCCTCCCAGCCCCAAAAAAAATTGAACTGGGTCCGGTAGGCCCGCCAGAATATTGAAAAACTCCGGCTGCCTATCTGGGCCGTCGATCTGGTGAGATCTGCGGCCCGCCCAAACATTGGCCTGCCATCCATACGTTCCCCAGCCACCGCCCCCACCATCCCGCTTCCCGCCTCCAGCTGCTTTCGAGCAGCTCAACCCGTCACTTCGACACTTCGTCGAAAGTGGACGAGGTCGAGACTGCGTCGCCCCCCCCACGTCCGCCCCGGCCTTGGATCGCCATCGCCCCGCCCCGCCCGGCCGTCCATCGGTAAAGGTGAGTCTTCCTCCTCTTCTTCTTCTTCTTCTTCTTCTTCTTCTTCTTCGTCTTCTTCTTCTTCTATTTCTTCTTCTTCTTTTTCTTCTTCTTAAACTTCTTCTTCTATTTCTTCTTCTATTTCTTCTTCTATTTCTTCTTCTTCTTCTTCTTCTTCTTCTTCTTCTTCTTCTTCTTCCTCTAGCAAAGCCCAAGTTTGTGAAATCTCAGAGAGAGAGAGAGAGAGAGAGAGAGAGAGAGAGAGAGAGA